CTATTTCTTTTTTTCACTGTCAGTAATATAAATTTTTATTTTTATTTCTTTTTATTTTACAAATTCAATAAAGTAATTATTTCTTTTTTTCTATTGTTTATCTTATTATTTAATCATTTTTTTATTAATTTACATATATTTTATCATGATGTGAAAAAGTAATAATGACAAAAAAGTACATTTTATAGTATTAAAATAAAAAATGTCAACTTATATTATTGGATAAATAATAGCAGGCATCTAAATCATTTAAACATTACACAAGAACATTACAATTTTTCTAATGTCTTTGGAAAAAATAATATAAATGTTAAAACCCTTAGTTATTATTAATTATATATATATATATATATATATATATATATATATATATATTATATATATATATATATATGGTTTAATGTCTCGGTAGGTCCCTATTTTTGACGTAAATCTCAATAGGTCCTTTTTCTTTCGGCGTCTCAATTGGGTCCTTTTCTGTGTAAAATTGCAGCAAATAGGGGTCTGCCGTCAAATTCAACAAACGACCGTTTAAATTTGGCCCACGTGGTATGGTGAGTGTATTCATTATCTGACGTGGCATTTAAAACGAATTTTGTATTAAAAATTTGGACTGCACATATGTGAATTCAGATGGGCAAAGTGGTGGGCAAAATCTAAAACTTTAATTGTAGTCCCCTGTCAAGGGTGAGTGCTCCTCAATGCCCAACGGCAAGGCCAAGATGTGGGAGGAAGACCGCCACCAGCAGGGAGGAGGGATGGATGAGTTGCTCGCGGCATTGGGCTACAAGGTTCGTGCTTCCGACATGGCAGACGTCGCACAAAAGCTTGAGCAGTTGGAGATGGTCATGAGGAGTGCCCAGGAAGATGGAATTTCCCACCTTGCTTCCGACACCGTCGTATCCATCTGGACCTGTTCATTGGTTCCCTGGAAGAAGGTTTTGATGTGTCTCACAGAGAATATGACAGCCTCTCATTCTTTCCAAATCACCTGATTTCATATACTTTGATTTGCCAATTTTCTATATAAATGTTATTTTTTTTCCTAATTCTGGTTGTATTGCTATCTTCTACCTTTCTTTCTTCCACAATTTCCTCTAAGATACCCTAGTGTTTTGATGATTGGGTGGGTGCTCCAACAACAACCAGCTCATTTTCAACACCCTCATGTCATTTCCCGTCTAAACAACACTTCACTTTTCCCCCCAATCATTTTCTCTCTTCTTCTTCAAAGGGTTTAAAACATTAGATTCATTTTTCAATGCATCTGAAACTTTGTTGCTCATGTTGTAGCTCTTAGGTAACCAGAGGGAGTTATCAGCATTCATGCCATTTCTGACTTTCAGGTTTTATTTCCCTCAAATCTCTTTTCTCATGGATAATCAATCTTCAATGTATGTGCCATAATTGTTTGTTCATGTGCCTCTGTGATTAGTATTAATAATGACTGATGATTTGGTTTCCCGGAAGAAGGTTTTGGCAGAAAGAGGGGCAGATGAGAGGGCTCTGCACTCTGACGCTAAAATGCGCAGAGGGAAGAACACGTGCGCACCGCGCCTAGGGTTTCTCAAGCCGCGCGCAAACAGAGGCTTTGCTTTGCCACTTCTTTTCTTTTATATATATATAATATATATTATATATATATATATATATATATATATATATATATTAACATATATATATCTTGCTTTGCCACGTCAGATAATGAATACACTCACATACCACGTAGGCCAAATTTAAACGGCCGTTTGTTGAATTTGACGGCAGACCCCTAATTGCTGCAATTTTACACAAAAAAGACCCACGCCGAAAAGAAAAAGGACCTATTTAGATTCACGTCAAAAATAGGGACCTACCGAGACATTAAACCTATATATATATATAGTTATTATATATATATATATATATATATCTATATTATTATATCTATATATTATATATATATATATATATATATATATATATATATGGTTCTAAGGAATAGTTTTCATCATTACAAAATAATTTTTTTGTTGTTTGATAAACAAGAAATTGAACAGAAGAAAATAATAAAATTAGTTTTTTTAGTTTAGTAAAAAAAGAGAGTTAAAAATAGTTTAAAATAGCGGTGAATTTTACTATATTATTTTTTATGCAGGAAATATTTAAAAACCTTGAATCAGTCCTTTAATAGATACAAATCCATCTAAACCAACCTAAATGTTATATTGTTTATATATTTGATTTAATTATTCATTTGATATAATTTAATTTTTCCTTTAAGTTTCTTAAATCAAATTAATAATTTTTCATAAAAAATTGAATAAGAATGGATTGTTTTATTCTAACATAATGTTAGCGTTAATTTTGATGAAAAGTTAACAGTTCGATTTAAAAAATTTAATGAAAAGATTAAATTATATTTTTTTAAAATCAAAACTAAATTGCATCATTTTTAAAAATTAAAAATTAAGACTAATAAAAATACTAAGAGATTAATTTAACATTTTTCTGACAAAGGAGAGACTAATGATAAATTAAACTATAATTTTTTTAACAAAAACAGAAATGTCTCTGAATGTGGAAACAGAAGAAAATAAAAGAAAAATCTCCCGCCTTGCATTTGGTGACATGTTCCTTAGAAACAAAGACCCGCTACCAAAGCCAGGATCTTTAATAATCTTCACTGTTATGTCCTCCTTCACACCCCAATGGGTAGTTGCAGAATCGTTTAAGGAGAAAAAGTAGAGAGAAAAGGAAAAGAAGAAGAAGCCTTCATCCTTTTAATTATTTATTTATTTTTTCTGTGAGGAGAAACAATGAAAGGCAAAGTGAAGAGTTTCAAACTGAAGTTGGGGATACCTGCATTTTTCTTCATTTGCTCCCTTTTTGTCTTTGCTGCCTTTTTTGTATCTCCTCTCCTCTTTCAGGTTTCTATATTGCTTCCTTTCTTGGGTTCTTGTGCTTTCATTATTCACTAGCAACGCATTTCAGGATTTGGACGATGTGAGATCAAAATCAAGAATACTCCAAGAATTTGAGAAGAAAGTATATGAACCTGTTGAGCATGGTGAATCCGGGGAATCCTTTTTTGATTCAATCCCATTTCAGGTGAATTCCCTTTGTTTTCTTTCCTCTGGGGTTGGATCAGTGGATTTTGGTTTAGTCACAATTTGATGTATATTATCTGATGAATTTACCTGATTAAGTTTTTGATGATATGATTGTGCATGATGGTTCATAATTCATATTTTTTTAATTAATAAAATTTAGCTATTAATTACTGATGTTTCTGGATTGTTATCAGTGCCTTTATTCGTCAATTTTCCTGCACCTGTGATATCATTGACAATTTAGCAGTAACTCATCAGTTGTTGGAGGCACTTTCTCGAGAAAGGTTTTGTTAAAATCTCTTACAAAAATATTGGAAAATATGTTAACTTGTTGGACATTGCAAATGTAAAAGACATATTNTTCTTTCCTCTGGGGTTGGATCAGTGGATTTTGGTTTAGTCACAATTTGATGTATATTATCTGATGATTTTACCTGATTAAGTTTTTGATGATATGATTGTGCATGATGGTTCATAATTCATATTTTTTTAATTAATAAAATTTAGCTATTAATTACTGATGTTTCTGGATTGTTATCAGTGCCTTTATTCGTCAATTTTCCTGCACCTGTGATATCATTGACAATTTAGCAGTAACTCATCAGTTGTTGGAGGCACTTTCTCGAGAAAGGTTTTGTTAAAATCTCTTACAAAAATATTGGAAAATATGTTAACTTGTTGGACATTGCAAATGTAAAAGACATATTAGTTTTATGGAATGGGATTTGCAATTACTGGATTGTACTTGGCGTCAGTAAAAGCCACCACAGGCAGATACATTTGATTAATTAACTCATGCAGCATTGGATTAAAAGTGGATGGTATCTGTTTGACATAGAGACTCCAAATAGAAATTGCTGTTTTATATATTTTGAACTCAATTCTGCTTATGATCGTCACTTCATTTTTTCACTGTGATCCCGTTCTTATTGCAGATTTTAAGTTGGAGACCGCGGGAGGTTTATTTTCCAAACTTTACTAGTGTGGAAGCATGTCAGCAAATAATTGAAATGGCAAAAGCAAAACTTGAACCATCAAAACTGGCTTTGCGGAAAGGAGAAACTGCTGAGAGCACAAAAGACACTAGAACAAGGTACTGTTTGAGCAAACCCTTTTCCCATCATCTATTGTAATATATGTGGAGTAACTTTTTGGACCTCTCGCAGTGAGAAAGATGCATGTGGAATAATTTAGAATCTCATCGATATATTTTCCTAATATATGATACATGGATGGATAAGTGAATCGGATAACATACATGTCTGATACAAATATACAGGATATGATACCTACACAGAATACATATTTAAGTTTGTATGAAAATCCATAAAACATACCAAATATATAAGTGTATTGTGTAAATCCAAATTAAAAACATTTTTTTTAAACATTACTGAAATGAAAATTAAAAATTAGTTTTTATTACTTACATTTATAACACTAAAAATCTCGTTGTTAGTTTAGAATAATTTCATAAAGAGAACAATTCCCTTTTAAAGATACATTGTTTCTATATTTTTATATTATAAATATTTACATATTGCTCGTTGTTATATCGTAGATAAATGCTAACCGGTTAACTCAGTTTTTTTGGTAAGTAACTTATGATTTTGAAAGTTAAAAATGTTACATATTGAAGATGACGGTGAGACATTTGTGTTGCTGCTATATGCTAATTTTTCGCTGGCAACAGTTCAGGCACATTTATCAGTGCATCAGGAGACAAATCTGGCATTTTAGACATGTTAGAGAGGAAAATTGCTAGAGTTACAATGATTCCAAGGAGCCATGGGGAAGTATGTCTCTTTCCTAAGTATTTTTTGTGACTTTCCACAGCACTGTAAGTGTTCATGTATGAGTAAAGCCGGAATGCTGTCACAATTTTGCAGAAATTCAATATATTGAAGTATGAGGTTGGCCAGAAATATGATTCTCATTACGATGCGTTCAACCCAGATGAATACGGCATTGTTAAGAGCCAAAGGGTATATTAAGTTCTTAATCAGCACAACTTGTCAAACACTTTGTATGTTTTCATAGGAATATGCAAGTATAAATTTATCATGTTATTCCAGCAATTCCTTTGTATGCAGGATCTCTCTGATGAGTATTCATTCTATATGGAAAACATTTGGAGGCAATTTGTGTAACTTGCTCATTCTTTTCTGAATGCGTCTTTGCTGGTTTATCATGCAGATGGCTTCCTTTCTGTTATACCTATCAAATGTTGAAGCAGGAGGAGAAACAATGTTCCCTTATGAGGTGGATTAGGAAACTAATTACTGTCACTCTCCCTTATACATTATACTGTGAAATCTTAAAGTGTAAGCAGTCATTTAAGTATTCAAATTTGCAGGGTGGTTTGCATATTGATACGGATTATGATTATCGAAAATGCATTGGTTTGAAGGTTAAGCCACGACAGGGCGATGGACTTTTATTTTATTCACTGTTACCAAACGGGAAAATTGATAAGGTACTCTTTCATTTTCAGATATATGAATATGATTGACGTTACTTTTACAGTACCCATGAACAGAGAAATTTTCATTAAGCAAAAAGGGAAATGAAATACATGTAAAAACTTAGAAATGTAGTAATTTCAGAACTTGGTGAAAAGTGGTGATTTTGTTTGTCAAACCCACTTCTGGTTTTCTGAATATTTCTGCAGACTTCTCTTCATGGAAGTTGTCCAGTGATTAAGGGAGAGAAATGGGTGGCAACAAAGTGGATTGATGATGAAGAGCAATAGTACTACAGCAAAAATGATTTTAAACAACAATGAAATACTATGATCTAAAGAGTAAAAACCGTTGC